AAATTTCATTTTGAGGACTTTTTTTTTTTTTTTTTTTTTTTTTGCATTGAAGGAGACCAAGCTTGGAGGCAGGGAGACCAGATCTGGTTGCTGTAGAGTGATGACTTTTCCCATTAAAGCTGCTTATTTTTCAATGTAGGGGAAAAGGACTCCTGCCTTTGCAGAGTCTACAGGAACTTCTTTGAAGTCTTCTGCCGTGCACTGATTTTTGTTATTAGTTTTTGGCCAGAGATAATATATGAAATAGTCAAAACAAAAACAAAATAAAAACAACGCCCCCCCCCAATGTTTTCATCTCAAACCTCTAATATCTAGTTCTTCTCAGAAGCTACAACAGTTACCAATTTCAGTATTACCCTTCCAGAGTTATTCTATACATAAATAAGCACATACATTTATTCCATCATTTAAAATTGTGATACATATATAGATCACATTGAACATTTACATCTGATGATTTTATCAATTACACCTCAATAAAGCTGAAAAAGTAGAGCTGAAGTGTGAACAGCATGCCATATCTTGCTTCGTTCACTTTAAAATGTGCCTTAGAGATTGTTCCATATTAATATATATAGAACCATTTCTTTAGCAGCCGAATAGTGCTCTATTGTTTGGATGTGCCATAGACTATCTAACTAACCGGTTCCCTACTGATAGACAATCAGATTGTTTCCAGTCCTGGGTGTCCCAAGTGAGGCTTCAGTGAACTCACCCTGGTACATTCATATTTGTGATCATGTCCAAGTTTAGTTATAGATTCATTTCCTACAAATGACTGTGTGTTAAAAGACATGCGAATTCTAAATGTTAATAGTCAGTGCTAAACTGCTTTCCAAAGACGTTAGTCCACGTTGTATTTTAAAACGCTGCAAAAATTTCCATTCTTTTCTCTAATATAACTGTGCATGTTGTCACGAAACCTGTCCTCTCCGAATAGTCACACTGACAAGCCAGCAAGTGGTCTGTATGTAGCCACTGGCTTTGCACATGTCTGGTACGCTCGTCACGGAACTCAACTTTCGACTTGGTATGATCTGACCCCTGCTCATCTCTAGCCTCCTCTTGCATCACTCCACACCCCACCATAATGAACTCCTCTCGTCGGCGCCACACCTAAGGTGACATGAAGAGAAGTAACGGGCATTCTGGCTGAGTATCAAGTCCCGAAGGAGCCCAGGAGCCTCCTGCTAAAAGAGGTGGATTGGCATTTTTAAAAAAGACTTTATTTATTTATATTAGAGAGGGGAAGGGAGAGGGAGAGAAACATCAATGTGTGGTTGACTCTCGGGCGCCCCCTACTGGGACCCAACCGGAGACCCTTCGATTCGCAGGCTGACACTCAACCACTGAACCACACCAGCCAGGTGTGATTGGATTGGCATTTTAAGATGATTTTTCCTTAGTCTGTCTCCTGCCCTCATCATTCTGCTCTGCAAGGCTCCCACCAGTAACCTCCACGTTACTCAATCCAATAGGTACTTTTCAATCCCTTGACATTTCTGAAAGTCAATTTTATTTGACCTCTTGCAGCACTCGATACACTTGTTAGTCCCCGCCACTTGCAACTCTCCTCCCCAGTTTATATGTCTCCACACCCTTGTTTTCCTTCTCTCTTCCTGGCTGTCCCTTATTAACTCGTCATGATATACTTTTCTGTCCCGGAAAACTCTCACAGAGTTGCTTAAGGTACGATCCAATTTGCTGTAATTTTTCTCCCCTCTGCTTTCTCTCGTGACCCATCAGGACACTGTAAAATCACTTAATGGGTCATATAAGCACTTATAAAACAATGAAGAAATAGAATAAAAATATCAGGGCACTACCCACAGGGTTAATATTATATATGTTGTCGATTTGTTTTTTATATATAAATACACCCGTGCATACAGGTCCAATGTCTGCAACATGAAAGTACATCTTCTGTGGGTTGTAGAGTGTGAACGCTCTGGCTACAGGACTCATACATTTATTTCTCAAGCCCAGAATGCTCCTTAGAATTCAAGACTGCGCACATTGAATCACCTATTCCACATCTTCTCTTAGACAGCTTCTACGGAGACCTCAAATTCAACACATCCAAAATCAAGCTCAAGGGTGGGCAACCTTTCCCCAGATGCTTCCTTGCCTCTTTCTCCTAAGCACCAAGGGTCCTTCTTTTGCCTCTGTAACTTGTTCCCTGAGGCCACACAAACGCAGCTGGCTCATTACTTCTTAAAAAAACAAAAAACAAAAAACAACCCTTTAAACATGAATGACCAGCCCCCCTAAGATCTCCAGCCGAACTTGGTACTACCATTTCTCTCCACCTCTCTGTATTGTACCCACACTGGCTGGGCTGGATATGGTCAGTCGGCAAACAACATCCATTCCTACTGTTTATGTGACTCCTGTGCGGATCATGCAGGAAAAGCTACAATGTTTCCTTTCAGGGGCTCCAGCAAGTAGATGCACTTGCATGAGATTTGGAAAGTGGGAGAAGGCAGAAGTCAATAGTTTCCGCTATTTTTGCCTGTAAGGTTGTTCAGACACCAGCTTATGGTCTCTGGCTTCACTTGACATTTCACTGCTCTGGCAGAACTGGCAGTGGCTCTCCGATGCCAGCATCCTGTCCTTGGCGGGCAGCTTCAGCAGTGTTCTCAGACTCAGCCTTTCCAGCGATGACCTCCTGGCTCCTTCCTGTGACAGAGGCAGTGGCTCCCCTGGTAGGTCAGTTTCTATGGTGTTCTAGGAGCCATTCCATTTACCCAGCCTAGGGCCTATCACTTTCTTCAGTAACTAGAGTGGTTTCTGCTTGCAAACCTGGACTCCATTTGATTTCTAGATCTGGACCAGAACTCCTACTGCTATACAGTTGTCATACTTGTTATCCCTTTTGCTTAGGCTAACACCCCAGCCACCCCTTAACTCCTACCCCCATCTCTCAATTACCTCCTTATATATCCTTTCCATCTCAGTTCAGACGTGTTCTCCTCGATGTTATCCCTGATCTCTCAGACCAGATCGGTTTTCCTTGTTAAACACGATGTCACTGCATGTTTAACGCATTAGCACACTTTGTAATTAGGTACCTATTTGTGGGACTCTAGAATTTGAGCTCCAGGGGACTTGACTATTTTGTTTTATTCCCTTGCCTAGAGTCGGTGCGTGCTTAACGTATGTGTTGAATGAATGAGCTGAATGGAGGCAGCTAGACTCGAGGGCATTAGGACAAAATCAAACCTCCAAGTAACATCACAAGCCCCAAGTCACCTCCCCTCGGCCTTTTCCCAGCCACCTTTTCCTGTGACTTTCTAGCCAGCTTGAACATGCTGTGTTCCAGGTCTCTGCACAGGCTTTCTTTTCATTATTATTTTTTTCAATTCCAGAGACGGGGGAGAGAAAAAGAGGGAGAGAAACATTGATGTGAGAAACATTGCATTGCTTCTTGCACACTACCCGAGTGGGGACCAAACTCGCCACTTAGGCATGTGCCCTGACCAGCACTGAACCTGCAGTTTGCAGGACAACGCCCAACCAACTGAGCCACATCATCCAGGCTGCACAGGCCTTTTCTGCTGCTTGGGTATCTCTTCCCTCTTCACCTGGCTTCATTCATCCTGCTGGTTTCAGATGAGACATTATCTCTTCTAGGAAACCTGTCCTTCAGACAATTCTGTACTCTTCGTAAATTTTCTAGTGTTTAAAAATACTTAATACTATATTAAAAATTGCTTGTTTCTTGTCTGTATGTCCCTTTGCAAGGGCACTGTCTTGTTCATGGGTGTACGTAGAGCGCCTGGCAGCTAAGGGATCTCAGCACACTCCTCTGGAGTCCGTGAACAGCGAGGACTTGTGATTTGGGGGCTGCTCCATTGGGAGAGGAAGCTGGGGGAGGTTTGTTCCACTCCAACCCCTGGCTCACTCCCCCGATCGCCAGGCAGGAGGCCCTGGAGCAGATTCTGGGGGGGATGGGGAGGGAAAGTTTCTTCCTCGGCTCCCTCCAGGAGAGTGGTGGGGGAGGGGCTGAGAGAGGGAAGATCCTTCCTAGGAGGCTTCTTGGCACAGAGCCTGCTAGGAAGAAGGGGGAGGGGAGCATGATGAATGCAGGCTTTCTCCTGGCCACTGGCCTCCACACCCCTGGAGGGAGGAAAAACCAAGGCGGAGAAGGGAAAGAGATGATGGCGAGGGAGAGGACAAGAAGGAGGACTAAAGGGAAGAGTCTGTTTGCTTTGGGAGACCGAATGGAGAGGGGCTGAGCTAGCTCTGACAGGCAGGGTTGCCAAGAGCCACAATGCCAGGCCCCTACTACACTGTATCAGCTCAGGAAATACCCTGAAATCACTGGCTCAGAGAATCGATACAGTAGGAACTTTCTTAGGACCTGATCACCTTATCAGGTGGAAAATTCTTCAGAGGGTAGACGTCTGGGGTAGAGGGGAGGGAAATCTGCAGAACCGGCTTGGAGTGAGTCAGCTCTCCAGGAAGAGCCCTGGACTTTTTTCTCTCTTCCTTCCTTAATAACTGGAAGAGATGGCATTTTAAAAAAGCCCATGAATACTCTGCATCCGATTTCTGGCACTTAAAATAACTGTAAGATGATGAAACTGACATCTTCCCTCTGTCCTTCCCACTGGTTTGTCATTTTCCAAGGGTGGAGTCCCTCTCGCTATCTTAGTACCATTCGGAACTGTGGTCTCAAACCTGGCAGCCCATCAGAACTGCGTGGAGATGCTTGCTAAAAAATGTTTTTCCTCGATCCAGTAATTCCAATTCCTTGCAGCTGAGTTAGGGACTTGAAACTTGAGTCTCAACAGTGTGCTAAGTGATTAGCACACTGGGTTTGGGGGCTGGGGGAGCAACTCCAAAGGGCCTGGCACAACAGAAGAGGTGCTAAGTGTTGCCCGAAGGGGCTGGAACTGTATTTGCAGGGTAAACAAATGGTGTGTAGGAAGTACGGATTGAACTAGGGTCTGTGTACCCATGGATCTAACACCTTGAAAGGAAGTAACACAGCAGTGTTAGCAATACAAAAGATAAATATTTATTCAGAACAAAACTTTTAACAATGGATTTTACAATCTAAGCCACAAGGAAATAGCAAAACATAATGAAAAAGGAAGACAAAACCGAAAAGCAGTGTATTGTCCTTTCTCCTTTAACTTGATTAACAGTTGACCCAAGCCCTCTCTTGGCCTGTTTCACAAGTACATTTTGGAGTTAACAACTCACTGGTAATTCTACTTTGAAACAGCCTTTCTCCTGGGAGTCAGGAGGGTGCAGATGAACTCCATTAGCTGCTTCTCTGGGGTTTCTAACTATTGAGGCTGAGGTGCAAATGTAAACTTCTGATAGGTTTCCTTCCACAGGAGCACCCCCATTTGTCACTGGTGGCAATGAATGGGGAAGGGGAAGGCCCCAAAAGATCAGGCACACTGTAATCCAGACGTGGTACCCCAGAGGGCAATGAGCGCACCCTGGATTATATATAGTTCTTTGTCCCTTTTCTATATACCCCAAATATTCAGAAGCCCCCGCTAAAATCTTGTTTTTCTGCTTCCTCCCCCAGATGATTTCTTAGCATTCCTCTGGGCACATCATTCTGCAGAGATCAGACTTCCCGGGCCCTGAAGTGCTGAGGAAAATGTTGTGAACTGTGAGAGGTAGTGGAATGAGCACCAGGCATGGCGTCGGGGAACTCTACTCCAGGCTACTAGCATGGGCACCAGACAGCTACGCGATTTTGACCCAGCTATTTAACCTCTCCCAGCCTGTTTCACTGTTGGAAAACCAGGGGATTGGTGTAAACCAATTTTTAGGTCCTTTCCCACAGGAAAATTCTAGATTCCATGATTCCGTGAAAAATGGCCTCTAAGCCACCAAAAGAGCTGTCACAAGGTCCATGCGTTGTAATGCCGTAAGAGAGGCCCTTGGCCACCATTCAGAGCTTACTGACTCAGATTACATATACTTCTAACAACACTGGTTTCACAAATTCTCAGACCACACAGATTAGAAGCAGCAAAGTAAAAGGGAGAAAAAGAGCTGCAAAAGCTAGACACCGACAGAAGCCACCATCAACAATGTTTTCAAGGCAACCCTGATGGGTGCCTACCTCGTGCTGGGCTTCATACCTAGTGCTAGGGCATAAAACTGAGTCAGGCAGCCCAAAGGGGGGAAATCCAGGGAGAAGACAAGGGTACGGAGTAACAAGTACAAAAAAAAAAAAAATCCCCAGAAAACACAATTAAAAAACAAAAAGGGTCTGGAGACGTATCTCCAGACTACAGTTCTCGGCAGTCATTACTGATGACAAAAGCCATCAATTCAGAAAAGGCTGAAATGGAGTAAACTTCGTTTAAAAAGGCAGAAAGAGACGTCTTTTACAGATTTAAAAAGATCTCCTTTGAACGATAAAAAACGGTTCGAAAAAAAGTTTTGGCACTTAAGAGGGGTAAACTGGCTCTGTAGTCACCCTGGCAAGCAGGTGGGCGTTCAGTGCCCGGCTACGCCTGTTAGCTGAGCTGCCACGGAATTGTGAACCGCTTTGGGACACTGAGCAAAGGCGTGTCCTCGCTTGCCACAAAGGTTGCACACGATGCCCTTCCTGCAGTAAGGGCTCAGGTGCCCCTCCTCCCCACACCTGAAGCACCTGTCCTGCGTGCAGCTGCCGCTCAAGTGGGTCCGGGAACCACATTTAAAGCACGTCTTGGGCTGCCCCTTGTACCAGCTGTAGCCCCGCTCGGCCCCTAGGAAGAAAGCCCCCGGAAGGTGCCTGATTCCACCCTCCCCCTGACGCAGCTCGATCTCGCACTTGTACTCCCCAGTCCAGATCCCAAACCTGTCGGTCACTTTCACAGGCACGGCCAGCACTTCGCAGTGGCGCTTGAGCCAGGTCACGATGTCCTCCACGTCCACGGTCTCGTTCCGGAACAGGATGAAGAGCGTCTTCAGGCTGGACTTGCTCCGCCCCAGCACCACGAAGTTCTCCCAGCAGTCCTCCTGTTCGCGCTTCTCTTCATAGACGCGAAGGAACAGGGCCAGCTTCTCCGCCGAGCGAAAGCTCACGTCGAACTCGCGGCTGCCCGGGATCTGGATGACCGCGTAGATGTCGCTGGGGTCCATACCGATGGAGCGCAGTATGAGTGAGCCGACCACGAAGTCCCGGGTCGGGCAAGCGCCCTCGTCTCCCTGGAAACAGATGCGCACGAGGAAGCGGCCCTTGCTCGGGCCAGGCGCTGGGCCCGCCACCGTCATCCCCGGCTGGTCCAGGGGCGGCCGCTCGGCTGTATCTTCGGCCGCGCCCGGCCTGTTGGGGGTCGCCATGGCCGCCCCCTCGGCCTTCTTCCTCCTGCTCGCTTCTGCTGAGGCATTCTTCTTGCGGGGGTCCGCCGCCTCGCCGGCTGGGTCTCTCCGACGGCCCTTCGGGTCCCCACGGCCAGCCGGGGGGAAGTCGCCCAGACCCGGCGCTGCCAGGCCCGCGGGGGCGCCAAGCCCCCCGCCCACGCCGCCGCTGCTTTCCTCCTCCCGCCGCGGCGGCCGCGACTCGCGGAACTCACCCTTCTTCTCCGCCAAGTTCTTCACCACTTGAGCCCAGCCCATCTTCTCGCGGCCGCCCTCGTTCTCCTCAGCCCGGACCGCTGGGCGCGCGGGGGTCAGAAGCTGCAACCGCCCCCTCTTCCTTTCCTCCTCCGGGCCGCCGCCGGTGGCCATTTTACCTCCTTCCCAGCATCCTCCACTCGCTCCCGCAGCCAAAGGGCGCCCATCGCGCGTAGTGCTAGGGTTTGGGGTGCTTTTTTTTTTGAAATTTGATGCTGCTTTGCCCCGCCCCACCAAAAATATTTACAAGCGGCGCGGGGCGGCCAGCGCCAGCCCGGAACCCCTGGTAACGGCCGAGCGGCGTTTCCGCCGGGGCTCGCCAGCCCCACCTCCTGGGCACCGGCGCGGGAAGGGGAGCTTGGAGCGTGTCCCTGTCCCTTGCGAGGGCTTGGCAGCCTTGAGCCTCGCTCTCGAGGATTTGGTATTTCGCAAGCGGTCCTCGATGATTTCATTCAAGCAGCATTACCAACGGCCCACAGCTGAAAGGCGGGACAGAGTCGAAGGAGATCTCGCCCATTTTGTTTTCTTTTGTATAGCTTTTCTATTAAAAGAAAACAAACGTAGCTCTCAGTCCTCCCAAAGCGAACCACAGTGTGATTTTTTTTTAACGTGGTATTATGAACATTTTCAAACATGCAGAAAGTTGAAAAACTTACAGTGAACATCTTACCTTTAGCTTTTTACTATTTTAACTTTCTATTAAAATTTTACTATACCTCTATCACACTACATCCCTATCCATCAGTCCTTGTTTTTTTCACACATTTTCAAGTAAGTTATAATCCATTATTTCTTTAGAAAAAGATCTCCGCATACTCGATAACAGATATACATTGAGCATTAAAGTGCCCCGAACTGTTCTAAGCACATTGCAAGCCTTATCAAATAGAATCTTCCAAAACAATGCTGTAATTACCCGTTTGCACAGGGACTCGGAGACAGGGTTAAATCATTTGGCCAAGTGGCAGAGTTAATAGGGGGCCCCTAGTTATAAACAGATGACTTATATTTATTAAACTTCTTTGCTTCTGACGTGTGGATCAAGGACTGTGCATCATGCTCTCCAAGAAACCTCTTTACACATAGATTCCGTGGCTAAAGTCAGCACTGGATGGAATCTATTCCTCTAACATTTGCCTAGACTGGTTCTTTGCAAGTATCGATAAAATGTGGGTGGTTGCAGAGATGGGTTTAACATCTTTCGTCAGCATTGCTTTCTTTCTGTATAGCTAGCTGTACATTTCAGGGTGCTTCAGTGACCTTTCCAACTTCAGTGAAAGAAAAGGCGAGCTGTGGAGTCAGGGAGACCCTAGTGTGAATCTGAGTGCTTTGATTCTCAGCCTGGCCCAGAGGGCCAACGACTTGGTTTTCACGGCTCCGATTTTCTCATCTGTTACGAAGAGGCATTAATATCTACTTGTCAGAGAAATGTGGGGGTTCAAGGACATAACCTGTGTTAAAAAGTTTGGTGCACAGTGCATTTCATAGATAAGTAACAGGACTGGTTAATTTAATGGCTCGAAAATGCTATCCAGGAACAGGCACCGCTATTTTCTTTTCCTCGATTCCATTCGGTTAACTCCCTTTCCAGTTCTACAGTTCTGGGAATGCCACACAGATGTGACAGCATCTAGAAGCGGATGAGGGAATTTTTTTTTTGCAGTGTCTTTTTTTTTTTAAAGTGTGATGAAAATCTTTCTCAAAAGGCTCTGAGTAGACTTCCTACCCTACTCTTTGGCCAGATGTTTACTACAGGCCTAGACTAAGCCTGTAACTGGCAAGGGAAATGGACCCTCAGCCTCGGGTAGATCAGTCAGGACTGCAGGAGAGGGAGCTGGGATTAGGGCTGGGCCTACCTCCTCTAAAGAGCATGCATATCTGAGTAAGATCAGGGGCAGTTAGCTGAGATGGATGAGGAGGAATGGGTGTTGAGTAGGCAACCACCTGGGTTTGTCACATAGTGCTGCCTCCTACTTTTTAACTGTTTCATGGCACAGAGCTTCCTCGCTGGAGTGCTGTGGTACAGTAGGCTCTGCAAATGGGGTTGCCTGACATAGTGAGTCCTTCAGCCCTAGGGGCAAGCCAGAAGATGGTCCTGGGCCGCCAGAGCGCCCAGCTGATCACTTACCATAGCAGTCTCTTCTGTTTACCACAGTGTGTAGTGCAATTTAAAACATTTGCCTATGATTTTAAAGAGGGGGCCCTGGCTGGTGTAGCTCAGTGGATTGAGCATGGGCCTGCAAACCAGAGGATTGCAGTTCAATTCCCAGTCAGGGCACATGCCTGGGTTGCAGGCCAGTTCCTAGAAGGGGACACACAAGAGGCAACCATACATTGATATTTCTCTCCCTCTCTCTTTCCCTTCCCCTATAAAGATAAATAAATAAAATCTTAAAAAAAAAGTAAAGAGGGGATAAGGTTGGGAGCTCTGGCCTTGTATTCTTTTTTTTTTTTTTTTTAAAGATTTTATGTATTTATTTTTAGAGAGAGGGGAAGGGGGGAGGGGAGAAAGAGAAGGAGAGAAACATTAATGTAAGAGAGAAACATTGATCCGCTGCCTTCAGCATATGCCCCAACCAGAGACTGAACCTGCCACCCACGCTTGTGCCCCGGGTTGGAATCCAGCTGGAGAACTCTCACTTTGTGGGACGAGGCCCAACCCACTGAGCTACACCAGTCAGGGCTGACCTGGGATTCTTTAGTAACATTTCCTGATTCAAGTTTAAATGATTTCAAATTATTGTGGTGCTCGTCAGCCTCCCAGTACTTGTCACATTCCAGTGACAAAATAATGTTTCAGCACTTAGGCACTTGCTCGCCACGTGTAGCACTTGCTACAACTTGTATAAGTCACGATGTCACCTGGCAAGGGAAAATGCTTCAAATACTTTGTTGCTTGCTTGCCACTAAGAAGGAATCAAGGACAAATAGCGAGGTACCACTATATTTGCTCTAAATTATTTTTTAAACTGGAATGCACTTTTAAATTGATGCTCCATCTAGCAAATCTGGGGTGTGGAGAGAGAATTGGAGTGGGGCTGGAGTAGGAGCTGATACTACAGTCTGGGCTTGAGAGGAAAGTGGAATATGTGTGGGTGGTGGTCGTAAGCGGTCTGATTCCAGATATACTTTGAAGGTATTGCTGACAGATTTGGATGATTCCAGGAAGAGCGCTGTCATTTTGACTTGAGTGAAAATGCTTCTGGGAAAACATTGCACGCCAGTTTCCTATTCAGTGTCCAAATGGAGACACTGAGTAGATAATTGGATGTATGTGGCTGGAATTCAGGGGAGAGGCTAAAGATGTGAGTCTGGGAAGCATCTGGATAGAGGTGGCATCTGGAGTCATAAGACTGGAAGGGAGCACATGGAGTGAAAGGAGATAGAGAAGAAGAGAGGACCAGATCTGAGTCCTGGGGGGAATCTGATAATAAAGGGACAAGAGGAGGAACCAGCAAAAGAGAAGAAAAGGAGGTAGGAAGCAACTCAACAGAGTGGTTTCCTGGATGCCAAGTTTAGAAAGTGTGTCAAGGAGGGAGGGAATGACCCATTGTGCCAAATGCTGCAGATAGGCCACGTAAGATGAGAATTGAGACGTGACTGTGAGGTTTAGCAGAGTGGAGGTTACTGGTGGCGCTGACAAGGGCAGTTTCAGTGGAGAGGCAGAGAGTGAGAGCCTGGATGAAGAGGGAGAAAGGAATGGGAAGCAGAGAAGGCAAACCTCAGTTTTGCTGTGAAGCAGAAATGGGAGGGGAGCTGGATGGAAATGGTCGCTTTAAAAAAAAATAATAACCCTCACTCAAGGACATTTTTCATTGCTTTCAGAGAGAAAGGGGGAGAGAAACATCCATGTGAGACAGGAGCATCCATTCGCTGTTTTCTGTACACACCCGGACCTGGGACTGAACCGCAGCCTAGGTATGTACCCAGGCCAGGAATTGAACTTGCAACCTTTTGCAAGTTACAGGATGATGTTCCAACTAGCTGAGCCACACCAGCCAGGGACCACTATTTTTTTAATAGAAAAAATTAAAATAGTATGCCATTGGGAAAAATACAGAGGAGAGGGTGATGGGAGAAAATGGGGTGAATTGCTGGGGAAGTATCTTAGAGAAAGCGAGAATAGGATTCAGTGCATAATTGTAGGAATCGGTCTCAGTAGAGAAAGTGCATGGTCAAAGGAGGGAGGAGAGTAGGTGGGCAAATGAGGTGATGTGAACCTTTGTGAGTTTACTGGTCCCACGATTTTCTTAGCGAACTAGCAAGCCAAAGAGCACGGATGGGGAAGGAAGTGATGTAGTCTTGATGAGAAGAGACATATGACATAGTTCTTCAGGATGTTGGGCGGGACCCGCCGAGGGATATTGGGAACCAAGTTGAGAAAAATGTGCAAAGAGCTACATTTTGCCCCGCGAGATTAGTCCCTCTAGGCGCTCGGTAGTCTCAGCCCGTTTCCTTGGAAACGTAGACCAAGAGGAAGCATTGGGTCTCCAAGGGAAGCTTGAGTGGCCTGAGTTATCAGGCGATCCACGCTGAGACGAGAAGATGGAGAAGCCGAATAAATAGGCATCCCAAGAGATCAGTGGCCCACAGACTTACGACGATTCTTCCATTTTCTCCAATGGCGTGCGTCTTTCCGAAGTAGGTAAAAGGAGCATCGCGCCGTGGCGAAGTGCGCATGCGCGTCCTCCTGCCCGCCCTCCGAGGGAGGTCCTCCGTCGGACTTTTGACCCCGCCCTCTCTCCGCTCACAACCGCCCGGAGCCCCGCCTCTCATTGCTGCTCTCCGGGTTGTGGCTCAGCTTGTGTCCCCAGTAAACTGCGGTTTTGGATTCGAGGCTCCACGCCTTTTTCACGTTTGCCGCTTCATCCCCATGGGGGTTGGGAATGATGGAAGTTCTTTCCTGTCTCAAATCTTTCTAGACCTTTCTACCCCGACAGTCGCTCCACAGACCATAAGTTCCCGATTCTGGTGAGTTCGGGATGGTCAGGGCGGGGGTTGGGGCTTGCTGATCCTGAGCCTGCTGTCCTCGAGGAAGCGACTGTCACGGGTACCTGAATTCCAGGACATTTGCTGTGGGACTGACGCATGACTCCGAACCTCAGTTTTCTCACTACCTTACCGGACTATAAGGGTATATATTATGTTGCTCTCTTATTTATGTCTGATTGCTACTCTGGTTTCTTATTGGGTCTTTTCCATACTTTATTTCTCACAGTTCTTAACACCTCACAGCTTGGATGTGCTTAGTAAATTCTGACTGGCAGATAAAAAAGAGTGATAGCGTTTATGGGACACTTACCACACACTTTATAAATATCTCTCAGCATTCTCACACCAACCTATGGAGGTAGGTTTATAATTAGACCCAGTTTAAAGATGAGAAAATTGAGGTCCTGAGAGGTAAAGTCACTTGCTCAAGGTCACAGATATCTGTAAGGGGTGGGGCTGGGGTTTGAAGCCACCAGGCTGTGTGACTGATTCTGTTATAACTGGTAGGATTATGGTCCATGGCAGCAGTCTAAGCAGAAAGTCAAGTCATCCACTCTGCTTCCAGTCCTACAAACCAGTGGCCCCAAGAAAAGCAAAATGAAGACTTGGATTAGCATCCAGCCAGGTGAGCAGAGGCACTTGGGGGCTGGTGTGGGAATTGGGGATAGGACAGAGGGGATGTTCTTGGCTCTTGGTGACACTGACCCCCCAAAACCCTGGAGATATCTTCTGGAAGGGGGGACCCTTGTAGTACAGGCTTGCCCCAGTGGGCGAGTGTTCTAGGAATCCACCTATATCCGCGTACCAGCTGGCATCGTTGTGAGAGGCTGCGTTTGGCTTCAGTGATTTTTTTTGAAGACTCTTTCAACATGTTTGTTTATTTTATGATGGGTGATTTATAGGTGCACCTGCCCGTACTGCACTGAGTGTTCAGCAGTTTTTCACCAAAACCAGCATGACCCCCATGCCTCACCCTTCCTATTCACTTAGTCTTACCCCGAGTGAATATTTTTTGTTTCCCCAAATGAAAAAGTCCTCAAAGGGAAATGTTTTGTGGATGTGGAAGAGATGAAATAAAAAACAGTAGCAGCTCTATAGGGATCAAAATTGACAAGTTCAAAAACTGTTTTGAGCAGTGGAAAAAGTCTCGATATGTGTATTGCATCAAATGGAGAGTACTTGGAAGGTGACTGAAATTTAAACATGTGAGAACAAATACACAATTTTTTATAAATAAATTGTTTTTTGGGTGCCTCCTTGTATATTATGGTAAGCTGATTACTTTAATCAACAATCCTCAGATTTCAAGTGTTAATACAGTAGCTTGTATCTCAAATATGTCAAAGTACATTTGTGGGTCTGGGCAGGAGGAGGAAATCTTTTCTACACGATTATTCAGGGACCTGGACTCCTCTAACGGTGTAGCTGTGACATTTTTTAAGGCACTGAAGTCCTCTGCTGGATACTTCTGCATCCAGCAGCGGAAAGAGAACAGAGGGAGAGCAAGAATAGGGCCCAGATTTGAAGTGATACAGTATCACTCCCACTCACATTCAGTGGCCACGACTCAGTCATCTGACCACCAGTAAGCACAAAGGAAGATGGGAAATGTAGCCCAGTTCTGTGTCCAGGAGGAAGAGAAAACAGGGCTTGGTGAATGCAGGATAATCTCGGCCACATCGCTGTCATTTCTGCCAGGGGAGTTTTGAGGCCTTGGGTCAGGCCTTGGGTGTGGCTTCATATCTTGGCTCTGCCATTTACTGTCTTGGGAAAGGCATTTATCTCTCGGAGCTTTAGTTTTCTCATTTGTAAAAAGAGGACACTTATACTTTCCTGATAGGATTGTTGTGAGAGTTAAATGAGATCTCTTTAGGCTTTATTTATTTATTTTTAGAGAGTGGGGAGGGAGGGAGAAAAAGAGGGAGAGAAACATGGACGTGTGAGAGAATCATCAACTGGTTGCCTCTCGCATGCTCCCACCTGGGGACCGGCCCACAACCCAGGTATGTATCCTGACTGGGAATCCCACCAGGGATCCTTTCAGCTCAGTCTGTAGGCCAATTGCTCAATCCACTGAGCCACAGCAGCCAGGGCTAAGTGAGATCTCTCTAAAAAGCATCCTTGCTCAACCTCACTAGACCCAATACTCCTTTAATAACTACTATTTTGTAATATTCCTTTAGTGTCCTGGAATAAACTTCATAGATAATATAACCTATCTACGTCTGTAGTAAAAAGTTAATGTAGTGCCCTAACTGTAAAGAAAAAGGCAAGCTTATTATAGTTACGTAACACATAGTTCAGTATGTAATGGGCAGGCTGGATTCCACTGGAAGATACGATAACTTAGAAGTGTACTCATTGAGGTTCAGTCCTGGTGAATGTGCCATTTTCAAAGGCAACCACACATGGATGTTTCTGTCTTTCCCCTTCCCTTTTCTAAAAATAAATAAATTTTTTAAAAAAGAAAAAGTAATGTAAAAGTGTAAAAATTTTAGAGAAAAACATAGGGCAGAAAAATTTGGGGGCCAAGTAAAGAGTTCTTAACCTTTACAGACAGCTTGATCCATAACAGAAAGATGAAATAAATGGATAAGTTGGATTTCATTACAAAAAAACACAAAAAACAGCCCTGGCTGGTGTAGCTCAGTGGATTGAGCGCGGGCCTGTGAACCAAGGGACCACGGTTCGATTCCCAGTCAGGGCACATGCCTGGATTGCAGGCCAATTCCCAGCAGGGGACCCACGAGAGGCAACCACACATTGATATTTCTCTCCCTCTCTCCTTTCTTCCCCTCTAAAGATAAATAAATAAAATCTAAAAAACCAACAACAACAACAAAAACTTTTGTTCTGTGAAACCTTCTGTTAAGAGGATGAAAAGACAAGCTAAGACTTGGGGAAAATATTTGCAAACCCACATATTTGACAAAAGACTGCTATGTAGAACACATCAGGAATTCTCAAGCCCGGGCTGATGTGGCTCAGTGGATTGAGCACCAGCATGTCAACCAAAGGGTCGCTGGTTCGATTCCCAGTCAGGGCACATGCCTGGGTTGTGGGTCAGATCCTCAGTGGGGGGCATGTGAGAGGCAACCACACACTGATGTTTTGCCCCTATTCTTTCTTCCTCCCTTCCTTTCTGTTTAAAAGTAAATAAATAAAATCTTTCAAAAAATTCTCAAATCTCAACAGAAAATTCATTTAGAAAATGGGCAGAAGACATAAAGAGACATTTCACCGAAGAGGATATACAGATGGTAAATAAGCACGTGCAAAGATGTTCAACACCATTTTCCGTTAGAGACACGCAAATTCAACCACAGTGGGTTGTCACCTCTCAGAATGGCCACATGAAGAACAGTGATAACGGCGAATGCTGGCGAAGAGGAGACACTGCGTGATGCAGTCATTGCTGGCGGGAGTGTAACGTGGTGCAGCCGCGCTGGGAAAGGACACGGCCGTTTTCAGTGAAACTGAACGTGCCCTTCCCATAGTGATCCAACAGTTGCACTTCTATGCACGCATTTCCGAGGAATGAAAACTCACCGTCACACACAGGCCAGAGCATGAACGTTTCATAGCAGCCTTATTTATCGTACCTCCAAACTGGAAACAGTCCAGATGTCTTTTAGTGGGCGAATGGTTAAATCAGCTGCGGTACCTCCCTAGCATGGCGCGCTGCTCAACAATAAAGAGGAAAGCACTATTGGTACACTTAATGACCTGGATGAATCTCCAGAGAATTTTGCTGAGTTTTGAAAAAAAGGCCAATCTCAGAAGTTACATACTTCATGATTCCATTTGTTTGACACTCTGGGAATGACAAAATTACAGAAATGGAGAACAGATTAGTGATTCTTAGGGGACAGAGACAGAGGTAAGGAGAGGATGCTAAGGGGAGGAAAGTGGGTGTGGTTATAGAAGGCAACATGGTGCTCCTGTGGTTATGGAACCGTCCTCTGTCTTGCCTGTCTTAATGTCAGTATCCTGGTTGTGATACTGTAATTAGTTTTGCTAGATGCTACTGTTGGGAGAAACTGAGTTAAAGGTACAGAGGATTTCTCTGTATTATTTCTCTGCAGATAACCTGAACTTACCTTAAAATAAAAAGTTTAGTTTAAAAAAGAAGATAAACCAGGATTACTACATTAATGAAAAGAAATACTCATTTTTTAAAAAAGATTTTATTTATTTTTAGAGGGGAGGGGAGGGAGAAAGGGAAAGAAACATCAATGTGAAGTTGCCCCTTGTGTGCCCCCTACCGGGGACCTGGCCCGCAACCCAGGCATGTGCCCTGACTGGGAATTGAACCAAGCGACCCTTTGGTTCCCAGTCCGGTGCTCAGTCCACTGAGCCAACCAGGGCAGAAATACTCATTATTAAAGCTATAGATTTTCCGAAGTACTTAAGTTCGATTTATAAATCTTATTATTTTTATAAATACTTGTAAGGGGGATGTTGGAAGGCAGGTGTGCTCACCACTGTACCACCAGTGCCAACTGTAAGGGGGATTTTATAACTTGGTTTATTAAATTCTCCTTAATCTTTTAAGGGCCATTTAAAAATGAATATATTTTTTCATTTCTAAATAATTCACTTATCTGATTAACAGAAAACATTGGGTATTTAAGTAATTCTTGTACATATAATTAATAAACCACTAAATACAGTTAATCTTAAGTTCTTTTAAAAGTTTAGGAATTAAAAATAAATAAATAAAAGTTTTGGAATTTAGCTCTAGCTGGCGTGGCCCAGTGGATTGAATGCCAGCTGGCTGACCTAAAGGCCGAAAGTTTGATTCCCAGTCAGGGCACATGCCTGCGGGTTGTGGGCCCGGTCCCCAGTAGGGGGTGTGCGAGAGGGTCTTTTTGTCTCTCACACAGCAGTGTTCCTCTCCCTCTCTTTCTCCCTCCCTCCCCCTCTCTCTGAAAATAAATAAATAAAAATCTTTGAACAAATGAAAAAACACTGCACTAATAAAGTAGAACAATCGGTGACAGGCAGCTACTAGAGCCGGAAGCAGCTGTTGCCTGGCGAGGCGGCCACTGTGAGCACCGGCAGCCGCAGGACATTCCTGTGATGGGCAATAATAACAACAAGGGGAAGCACAGTTCGGTCTCCTGCACCCGGACTGTACGGGAGGGGACGGGAGCCTGCCACCTGCCCGTACCTCCCCTCACTGGCGCAGCCCACTCGGGGTATAGACAACCCTGTTATTAGAAAGATCTTTATTTTATTGAGACTGAAACATCATTCCCTGTAATTATGACCTTTGGTTCATGTCTAACTCTAAACATATACTTGGCCAAAAATTAGCCCCCGAGGGACCTGTAAACCGGATTGGTTGATTTTCGTGATAAATGTATAGAATCACTCTGCTATGAAAAAGGAAAAAAAAGCAGAACAATCATAATATACTATATTAAAACTTACATGAAGATGGTCTCTCAGAAAATCTGTTGTATGTCCTGGGTGGAGGTGCTGAGTGGGCTGAGTGCCACCCTGTGAACCAAAGGGTCACCGGTTTGATCCCCAGTCAGGGCACATGTCTGGGTTGTTGGCTGGCTCCCCTGGGCGGGGTGCATGAAAGGCAACCACACATAATGTTTCTCTGTCTCCTTCCCTACCCCCTCTCCTAAAATAAATCTTTAAAAAAAAGATTCTCTAAAGTCTATTGTACTGTGCTGATCCTTCTTTGGTGACATGAGGTGATACAGTGTCTGTGCCACCAGGTGCAGTGAGGTGAGGGAACAGCACCAGGTTGCTGCTGTCCTTCTGGTGACATGTCAGCGGGAGATCACTGAGCGTGATGACGTCCTGTCTTCCACGCAGGGTTTAAAGCCTTTTCCATCTTGACTGAGCAATTCCTCTGCACTGTGGGTATCACTTGTGCAGCCTGCGGTGCGGTGGCAAAACTAGCACGGAGTTATTTTTTCTTCATCACAATTTCACAGATAGAAGATTTGTTCGTATCGTAGGCTGCAGCGACCTCAGCATATGATTTTTTCTTTCCTCATTGAGAACTTTCACCTTTTCACTCGGAGGAGCACTTGATGCCCTCCCTGTGGCACGTCTGGATGGCCACGGCGCTGCTGTCCTGCCTCGGGGCCATTGTTGAGGAAAGGGAGGGCGTCTTGCATGCAGGCACTGCGGTCCCTGACAGCGGCTCTGGTCGTGCAGGTGGCCACCAAGTGACTGAGTGGCAGGGGCATACAGAGTGTGGAGATGCTGGACAACAGGAGGATTCACGCCCTGGGTGGGGTGGGCTGCGTGGCGAAATTTCCTCCCGCTCTCAGAACGGTGGGCAGTTGAGAACTTGGGAGTTGTTTATTTCTGGAATTTGCGGTTGTACGCTCTTGGATCGTGGCCGACTGTGGGTAACCGAAACTGCAGAAAGTGAGGCCGCGGAGAAGGGGGGACCACTGCACAGGTGATCCGTACGTGCACACAGAACTGTTTGAATTTACTTCATTGCTTCAATACTTCATACTAAAATTTTCCAGGACTAAGGGTATCGGTTCATTAGAAATAATATTTTTCTGACATAAACCAGAGACTCTGGCAGGGCCTGAGAACACGGCTTTGGCATTTGTGATGATTTGGGTGTCGTGTCTCCTGCCGGCGCGGGACACACTGAGAGGAAGCAGGGATTCTCAGAACAGGCCCTTTAAATGCCTCATTCTGATTGGGATTATTTCTGGCAGGACCACAGCTCTCATAGGCCTGGCATTACCTGTCGGAGTTTCCCATCAGCCTTTGTCTGATGGTGTGGTCCTGAGGCCCGTTCTCAGGTCATTAGTGAGAACAGACGACTGGTAATGTATATTCAGCACTCAGTGTGTTGGCTGCTATTCCAAACACTTTAAAATACAGTAACTTCGTACTTCATTTTCAGGACAATCCTACCAGCTAGGCATGATGGTTATTTTTGTGTCACAGACGGGGTGATGGAGGGACAGAGAGATCGTGAGACCTGCACAAGGTCACACAGCTGGTAGAAGGCAGAGCCTAGATTCCAGCCTGGGCCGTCTGGCTCATTAGTTCTTGCTCTCAATCCCTACCCCGTTCAGGTTTGCCAGTGGTCAGGTTGGTGGGAGAGGTCGGGGGCGCCTGGCTGTTTCCCGTACTCCTCCTCCCCTCTGGCCATACCCACAGTCACTGGGTGTGTGGAAGTTCCCTGGGCTTCTCCCTCCCTTACATCGAGGCCCAGAGTGGGGCTCAGGAGCCTCCTGGTGGGTGCGAATTTCTTCCTGTGCCTCACTGTCACACACTATAAAGTTGTGAGTACACAGGGCTGGGAGCCTGGACCACCTCTCGTGAATTTCGAGTTCCTGGAACCTGGTCCCAGGCCTGCCTATACCCTCACTGTCTCTGCTCTGTCCCATGCTCTAGGGTATTCCAAGCCCACTGTGTTGAGGACAGGCCAGCTGAGGAATCCACAGGAACCTCTGGGAATGCAGTTGGACTCTACAAAGGCCAAATTCCGGTTCCTGAAGGTATTCAGAGCATCCTCCCTCTGGCTCCGCCCTGGGGCGGGGCGACACCCGATGGGGGTAGCAAACGCGGGCAGAGCGCTTCGTGAGTCTCACTTGACTCATTGCCTCCTCATAGCAACTCCCTTATCACCGTCCCTATTCTACAGATGAGGGAACTGAGGTGCAGGGAGGTAAATGACTTGCTCGAGGTCACACTGTTAGAAGATGGCAGTACCCGGGGTCAAAGCCAGTTAAGCAAAGTGCTGCTGTGTTTAAGACTCAGGAAAGACAGAATCCCTTTTTATTTCCCTGCATTAGGAGTGCAGTCTGTGGCTAGTTCATCTTCAGGAAACTCCTTTCATGGAATACAGCGCATCTTGAAACAAGGCTGGGAAGAGTACTGTTAATTTTTTTATATCAACTGATACCATTTTGAATAATTAATTTCCTCACCAACCATTGTTTTTTACAGCTTCTGAATGATGTTTCAAAATATTTGAAGTAACTAAAAGAAGGAGGGGGCTTTTGTGTCTATAGAAAAAAGTATAATACTGAATACTATAAGTATTACAAAATACTGTAGAAGACTTCTTAATTTCTCCAAGAAAGTATTTAATAGCTCAATAAACAGGGATTACTATATAAACAAATAGCAAAAAATATATTTGCTTTGAAATCTTTCTTCCCTTTAACCTTCAATTTTGCAAAAACAATTTAGAGGCAGCCCAGCATTCTTAAAGGAAGAAATTGTATTTCAGATATTATTGTTATTCTGACTTTAGAAGGGTACGTGTATTTTTGTTTGATAAAAAGTGAACCGAGTCAATTTGGCCCTAAAACCCTTGCTCCTCCCAGTTTCTAACACTGCCTCTTGTAATCATTTATTTGTTTACTTAGTCAACAAATATTTATCGAACACTTAACCGTATTTTGCTGGGTATAATGCACTCCCGAGTGTAATGCGCACCCATGTTTTTGGGCCAATTATTTTGCATATGGATATTGTTATTGCTTTCTAGAGTTACACTTTTATTTTTTTTAATTTTATTTATTTATTTTTAGAGAGAAGGGAAGGGAAGGAGAAAGAGAGGGAGAGAAGCATTAATGTGCAAGGGAGACATTGATCAGTTGCCTCTCACATGTCCCAACTGGGGACCTGGCCCGCAACCCAGGCATGTGCCCTGACTGGGAATTGAAGCAGTGACCTTTCGGTTTGCAGGCCAGCGCTCAGTCCACTGAGCCACACCAGCCAGGACTAGAGTTACACTTTAACACCTAAGCATAAATATAAGAATTGAAAACACGTAGATATGGAATTAGTACCACCCATGTATAATGCGCATCCTTATTTTCCCCTCAAAAATTTGGGCAAACAGTGCGCGCTGTGCAGGGTACAATATGGCACATGCCCAGGCCTGTGCCGAGTGCGGGGAGTCACCAGTCATGTGGCCTCTGACGCTCCCGTTCTACTGGGGGAGACAGACAATGAACAAGACAAGTGTGTAGTATGTGTGATGCTAACGGCTTATGAAGAGGCATAACGATGAGGTGAGGGGCTGTTTCGGAGAGACCGTTTTGGACAGGGTGGTCAGGGAAGGCTGCAAGGTGGTCACATCTGAGGGAGGAATGCTCCGGGCGAGGAGCGACAGACAGCGCAGAGGCCGCGAGGTGGTGTGAGGGTTGCGTCCGGAGCAGTTGATGAGGAAAGATGCTGGGATGCGAGGGTAAGCGGGATGGCTTGTGTGCGGCCCTGTGGTCCATGGTTCCACTTGGTGTGTTTAGACAGGGAGACCCTGGAGGGCTCCCGAGTGGAGCAGGGACGTGACCTGACTTCGATTTTCACAGGAGTCCTTGGGGCGTTGCTGCTGTGTGGAGAATGGACTTGCAGAGACAAGGGGAAAACAGAGGGGGGTAGAAACCACCAAGTTGGTTTGTTCGTGGAGAGGGGTAGGATCCTGACTCTGCCTCTCGGCCTCAGGATGATTATTATTCAATCTACAACTCGAGGGAGAGTGCCTACTGTGTGCCAGGCACCATGCCGGGTGCCGGGGACGTAGCAATGAACATGGCACTCAGCATTTGTTCTGTTACGGAGCTTCTGCTTCAGTGGGGGGAGACATAAGTGAATCTAAAACACCCGGCGAACAGGTACTGGTCAGCTCATTCAGCCCACACCTGCGGGGCTCCGGGCGATGTCCTGTGTACTGGAGGTGAGAGCTGCGACAAAATGACCAATGCCCCTGCCCTCTTGGCTGTGACATTCTAGGGGGGACAGACAGGAAACAAGATAAGAAGAAAAATGTGTTTTGTTGGGTGGCAGTAAGTCCTAGGAGGAAAATAAGTTGGGAAAGGGGAAGACATAATTATAAACTATAGTTAGTAGTTACAGATTGGCGTAAAGGTCAGGAAAGAAGCAAAGAAATGTTTCCACACTAGATCTGGGGGTGGGAGAAGATCCATTTCTAGAGTGGGGTCGTTCATCCTACAGTTTTTCTGAATCCCTGGGAGTGGAGTGTGTTAAAAGCACAGATTCCTGGTGCGAGCCCCAGCGGTGCTGGCTCAGTGGGCCAGAGACCGGCATGTTTCACAAAATGCTTCTGGTTCCTGTGGGCCATATTTGGAGATATTTTGGGGTGGAGATGTGGAGGCAAGACAGAGGAGTGATCTCGGGTAAGTGAACTTGTCAACTCTCGTGGACCCTCAGTTTCTGCGTCTAAGGTGGGGCTAATCGGAGTGCCAGGTGGCGTGGTACGTGTGACGTGCTTAACGCTGTTCCAGGCACACAGTGAGCACCACGTAGGTTTGCCCTCTGACTCTTATTATTACGTGGGGGATGGGGAGCTGAGGGATAGTAAGGTGGGCGGGTTCTAGCAGAGGATGGAGAAATAAGGAGAAAGAGAAGGAGTAAGGGAAGGGCACAGAGGTATGGCAGAGGTGGAGATTTAGAGCTGGCGAGAGAGTGCCAGCAGCTGCTGTTCACTGATTGCACACTGAGTGTGTGAAGCATTGCAGTGGCCTGATTGTGAATGTGATCTCACTGATGTGTTTTTCACAGCAGCTCTGAAGTGGATGTTAGTTATCCATGTTTGAAATGAGTATGTGGGGCTCTGGGGGCTTAACTCACCCCGTTTCCTTTAGGTGGTAAGTGACAGAGCTGAGATTTGAAGCGAAGTGTGTCTTGGCCCAACATCCAAGTCTTAATCACTTGGAGGTTCAGCCACGCCTTGCAGCTTTAAGCCCACTCAGCCCCTTGTCTCAGTGTAGTGGAAAGACAGATACATGGGGGATCAGAGGCCTGCTTTTCCAGTTTCCCGGGCTCCCACTTCCTGGCTGTGTTACTTGGGGCAAGTCACTTAACCTGTCTGAGCTTACACCTGTCAGTAAAATTGAGTTAGTAAACACAGTGTTGTTAGAGGATGAACTGACACCATGTGCCATGTGCCAAATGAGGCACAGTGCTCAGACACACAGTAGGTCCTTAACAGTTGGTGGCGGTGGTGGTGCTGTGGGTTCTGTGTACCTGCTGGACGGGAGTTAAGCCATTAGACCCTCGCTGTTTCCACAGGGGTGTTGTAGGAGATGAAAGTGTGTTCAGCTCAGCTGCCTGATGGGAAATATTAGCAATTATCATTTAGTCTGCCTCCCTGCTTCTTCTCCAGACATGGCCCACCACCTCTGCCACCTTTTTTACCGACCTGGGGCATTTTCTATTATAATGATTATTAGTATTATATTTCATTGATTCTAGGAAGCCATTGATAATAAGGCACACCTTTATTTTATTTACCCACTAATAAAATGTATGTCAGTTAGATTGCGACACGCACTAACTGGAAGATGCATCCTTGCATTAGAAATATAAAATGATGGGAAAATGGGCATTTCCGAAAGGATGAAATAGTTGGAGGTGCTGTGACCCGTAGACAATGGGGAGCCACCTCCCAGTCCTGGCCGTAGTTGCCAGTCGAGGCCACTAGGAGGCCAGTGTGCGATGGGAGGGAAATGGTCCCCAGACTCCGGGAATCCGGCTGCTTAGCGCAGCACCGCCTCCCATCCGCTTCTCTCCGCCCACAGGTGATGCTCAGGAACCAGCAGATCTCACTCCAGGAGCTCCGCAACCAGGAAGTCTTCCTCACCAAGCTCAATCAGGATCTGATCAAGACCATCCAGGACATGGAGGATAGCTCAGCACAGAAAATGCGCAGCATGCTTCAGCAGCAGAACGTCTTTCGGGTGAGGCCTCGCTGGTGGCCTTGCAGCCCCGCCTCTGTCCTCTGAGCCTGGGACCTGCCCACCGCACCGCCCTCCTGAGCGCTCTGGCGCCCTCTCCTGGCCGCTTCCGGCGGTTGCACAGCTACCAGGGCTTTGAAATCAGACCGGGTTTGGCGGGGCTTATCGTAATGGCAGTACTTACTAGCTGAGAGACTTTGAGTTAACCTATGAGCTCTGTAAAATAGGGCTCAATAGCACCTATTCCAAAGGTGGGGGGTTTGTACTTGGTACACAGTAGATGTACAAGAGAAAGTCGATGCTATCGCAACCAGGCAGCAGCAGATACTTCCACAGTGTAATACTAAGTGCTTTGTGTTTACTCAAGTATCCCTACAAAAACCTTGTGGGTGGGCATTATTATTTTATTTATTTTACATATGAAGAAAGGGATACACAGGCTAGGTTACTTGCTCAAGGTCACTTTAAAGGTCATCCAGCCAGCAAGGGTCAGAGTTGAGATTTGAGCCCGGGGAAGTCTGGTGCGAGGATCTCAGATCCTTCCACCAGCTGGGATCACCACCCTCATGCGGTGAGGAGGGACTCTGCAGAGAGCCCGGGGAATGTCCTCTGCCTCCACTTGGAGAGGCTGGGTGAAGCTGTGGTGAGAGGCTAAAGGTTCACAGGGGACCCAGGAGATCGGGCCGAAGAAGAGGCAGAGAAAGTGGTTTAGTGGAGAAGTGAGTCCCCTCTCTGACTGCAGTTTGCCCAGGAAGAAGAGAGACTGAGTTCACCGGAGCCCGTGAGATGAAGAGAGAATTAAGTTTGGGGAACCTGGTTGGCCTGCTTTGGCTGCCATAGGCCAAATACCACAGAAATTTTGGCTTAAACAACCTAAATTTCTTTCTCATAGTTCTAGAGGCTAGAAGTCTCAGGTCAAGACGCCAGGAGGGTTGACGTCTGGGGAGGCCTCTGTCCCTGGGGTGCAGGCGCTGTCTCCTTGCCGGGCCCTCACGTGGCTGATCTCTGCTCTCGAGGAGGGAGCAGTCTCTGGCATCTCTCCCTCTTCTTATAAGGACTCCAGTCCTGCTGGATTAGGGTTCAGTCCTTTTGATCTCATTTATCCTTAATTACCTTCCCAAAGGGCTTATCTCCAAATACAGTCATGTTAGGGGTTAGAGCTTCAATATGTGAGTTTGAGGTGGGGTGGGAGGGACACAGTTCAGTCCGTAACAGAGACCAAGGGCATACAGAGTTATTCAGCCCAAGGAAACTTAGTAGAATATTCTCCATACCCAGACAGAGTCGTTGTCTGATTTCCTCTCATTGATCCATTCATTTTTTTCATCCTGAGGACTTCCTGTAGGCCCTTGGGAAATAGTGATCAGTGGGACACCTTGTCCACATGAAGCCCTCATTCTAGCGCGGTCACAAGCAGTTAGAAAGACATTTGTGTGTATTGTGATGGGGACTCGGGACTCGGAGCATAGCAGGGCTCTCTAACCCAGACATGAGAGGATCAGGAAGGCTTCCTAGAGGAAGTGGTGCTTGGGTTGCACATGCAGCCGTAGGTATTAACTGGCAGAGAGCAGGCGAGTGTTCCAGGCAGAGGAAATGGCTGCAAAGGGCCTGGGGTGAGAAGGAGCTCGGCCAGCTCAAGGTGCCATGTGCTGTGTAGTGTGGCCAGACAGTAGGTGTAAGGAAAGGATCAGAGGGAGGTAAGACTGGCCCAGGCCAGATGGAGGAGGGCCTTGTTGACAGGGCAGGGGGGAGTCATTGGAACATTTCAAATGGGAGAGGGACATGGTTGCCATTTTTTAAAGAAACATTCTGACTTCTGCATGGAGCATCAGTCAGAGGAGAGGACCAGTTAGTGGTAGCTGTCGCCACGTTTCAGACCAGAAATGAAGGGACCCCGAGTAAGGTAGTGGCGGTAGAGAGAAAGGCGTGGCTCTTGGTGCAGTTTGGGGTATAAAGTCCGTACCACTTGGTGACGTTCTGGGTGAGAGAGGGCATAGATGGATGCCTGGGTTTGGGCGTGTGTGCCTGGCTGGGTGTCGGGGCCGCTGGCTGAAGTGGTAGTTAAGGGGACCTGTGGGAGGGGGCAGGGAAGTAGGTGACTACTCTCCGGCCTCTGGAAAGGTGTCTCAGCCTGGGAGTGGGGGTGGGTTTGGGGACTCCTCAAGGGCAGTGCTGAGCCCCCCAAGTGGCCATGCTCTGGGTGGGGCGAGCCAACCCTACTGCTCCCGCAGACCATCGTCCACCTCTTGGCGTACTCAAACGGGAAGAAGCTGCAGCAGACGAAGTGTGAGCTGCAGCAGTGGAAGGAGAAGGAGGACTCCAAGATGAGCTGTAAGAATCCATGCGAAAAGCTTCTCGATTTTCACCCAGCCCTCCGGGGAGGTCGTCTGCAGGGCGCTCACCCGCTGCCTGCTGTTCTGGGACCATCAGGCCCATCACTTCCCTTCTTAGGCCGGTGGAGTGGCAGAGATCCAGAGCTGGTAGCTTGCCGGTGGAGCATTCAGGACTTCAGGCCCCACGTGTCTTCATTTTTATGGGCACACTCTGTCATTTCAACCACCTGAGGCAGGGAATGAATATTCTTGTATTTTACGGATGAGGAAACTGAGGCTAAGAGAATTGAAACAGCCTGCCAAGGGTTGCATAGCTGGGGGCCAGAATCCAATCTGACCTGCCTCTGTGTCCTGCCAGGGTTGCTCGGGGGGTCGGTGCCTGGGCCAGGCGCCAGGTCTCCTGGCGTGTATCCTGCTGAGGCCATGGCTGCTTTCCCCTGAGCAGACTAAGAAGCCTTCTGAGCAGAGGGACATAGTGTTAGCCTCAGATAAGGAAGTCCCCTCCAGGGAGGATGGCAGGGGAGACTTACTCCTACTGTGGTTGTGTCTCGGGAGCCAGCATCACGCCGTCTCCCTGGGCGTGTTGTGTTGGGGATGTGTGTATGAGGGGACTGATGTCCGGACAGGGACGGTCTTGGTGAGGGTCACAGTGCAAGTCAGCGGTAGAGCGGGGACTAGCCTCGGGATGTTGCACCAGCTTCGTTTCTCTTCCCCACCCTGTGCTGGTGCTTCTTGGGGGTAAAAGACTCTGGGGCCTTGACTTTTCACCACCTCCCAGCCTGGTGTGAGCTGGCTTCAGCCCAGAACCCACTCCATTGGCCAAGGAGAGCTTTGCCTCCACGGGAGGGGGTCCTGGAGGGAGGATCCTGCCTCCTGCTCCTCCTGACCTCTCCAGACCTGAAGCAGCAGGTGGAGCAGCTGAATGCCAAGATCAAGAAGACTCAGGAGGAAGTGAATTTCCTGAGCACTTACATGGACCATGCGTACCCGGTCAAGGTGGTCCACATTGACAACCTCGTGCACCAGCTGCAGCAGGTGAAGGACAACCAGCAGGTATGTGAGTCCCTGGCTTTGCCCTGTGGGACCAGCGGGGAGGCAGGGCTGGGGGCCAACACGCTCCTACTGGCCCCCAGGACGAGTTGGATGACCTGAAGGAGATGCTCAGGACAGTCCTGGACTCGTTGTCTAATGAGATTCAGACTAAGAGAAGAAAGCTGCTGAGCTCCCTGGTGGTGGTGAGTTGCCCGCGGCTGCAGCGGGGACCCAGGTCCTCCATCCAGTCCTGCCTTCTCCCCCATCCTCTGCCTCCAGGCGCCCCCGTGCCCCCTCTTCCTGCACTGCTGTGGAAGAGGTGCCTGGGGCCAGACTCCACTTCGTTCACAGAAAACCCAGCAACCCTGCCAGGAGGTTCTTCTGCAGAAGACATCGGAAAACCATAACATGGTGAAGTACGCAGACAAGTTCAGAGACGTGAGTGGGCAGGGATGGCAGCGGTCCGTCTGTGAGGCAGCAGAAGGGCGGGCAGTCCCCAGGACTGGTGGGCGGCAAGCTTGTCCTTATCTGGTGCTCAGGGGGTCTCGGGAGTCTGGTGTCGGCTCTTCTCCTTGCTGGTGCCATTACTGTCACTTGTCACTCATCTGAGAAGGGGATTTGCAGTGGCTTAGGCCTTGCCTTATGAGCTGTCGTCACTGGGCATGACCCATTGGTAATATCACCAAGCAGCGCCCGCCCACCCACCATCATTTCACTGTCACTGGTCACCCGCTTTCTTCACCCCTTAATTCTTGTCTTGACCATCACTCATTACTTGTGTTAATGAACTTCATCGTCATCAGCCTCTTCATTTTCATCATCTTGCACCTTCGTCATTCATCTCAGTGAGTGGCCCTCCCCGGCTCCGCCAGCCCTCATTAATCTTCATTACCTCGAGCTGCCCCCGCGTTGCAGTGTCTCCATTCCGCAGAGTCCCCTCACCTTTCTCAGGACCAGCAAACATTGTCACTAACTCGTGAGCCAGGCCTGCTGGCCGAGGGGCCCCTCTCTGGAGCCCTGGGATTCCGGGGACAAAGCCCAGGCCGCTTCTCCCAATGTCTTTACTCCTCGTCCATTTTGCCCTCGTCTTCCTCTGGTTGGGGGGGAATTTGGCTTCTCTGTCCCCTGCTGTTCCCCTCAGTTCGCCAACCAGTTCAAGCAGGAAATACCCAAATTACGGGCCGAGGTGAGGCAGCTCCAAGTCCAGATCCAGGACCCCCGAGAGGTCGTGTTTGCAGACGTTCTGCTTCGGAGACCCAAGTACGTGATTGCGGTGCAGCGGTCTCGGCCTCCCCCGGAACCGTTCCTCTTGCTCCCGGTGTGGGAAGAATAATGCCTGTCACTTGCCGAGCCCTCACCACATGCCGGCAGGATCCCACTTAGTCCCCTGCCAACGGCCGAGGTTGGGTTGCTCCCCGTTAGCAGATGAGGGACGGCGGCCTCCTGGGCTCTGTCCCACAGCGAGTGCACAGGCGCCAGCTGGAGGGGCGCGGCTCTGAGAGGGGTGGCAGGGCACTCAGGGCGGCTCGGGGCCAGGTCTCCACACGGGTCCCTGACTCCAAAAGGTGCGTTGGACCCGAGGGGCCCCAGCATTTCAGAACGGAGTTCCTGCGCCCCCTGCCCTCCGGCCTCTGCAGGGCATCATCAGTCCCGTCACATCCCCTCCTTTCTCGTTTGATCGAGTGTGTGAATGAGTGTGCGCAGTGTGCATGGGCGCGCCCTCACACAGTTGGGCTGCGAGGTTGCAGATGTGTTTTAGGGTGGGGCTCCCTCAGCAAGTACCTGTGTTCTAAAGGGCAGGGCTTCCCTGAGGACATGCTCCCCCACCCCGTAACTCTGGCGCCCCTACTTGGCCTCTCACACCCCCTCTTTGCTCTTTCCTACCAGGTGTACCCCAGACATGGATGTCACCCTCAACATCCCTGTGGAAGAGCTGCTACCCTTCTAGGTGGCAGGGCCACAGCCGCTCCTTCCCTGCTTTCTTCCCTACACCTGGAGCCTTGAGCCATCTCCTCCCCAGGCCACACCCCCATTTAGGCCCCACTGGTCTTCCTCCCCCTGCACCCTCCCCCTCCCCCTCCCTCGCTCCCTCCTCCTCTTGGTTTGGTGCTGCTGCTTGGGCCAGGTGGGAATTTCCAGTCAGGTCTACCGTTTCTTTTTGTCAATAAAGCTGGACTTGCATTTGTGCTTTGCCTGTGCCTGGGGGTTCCCGGCAGGCCTTGTGAAAAGATGCAGTAGGAACAGACTTTGCCTTAACATAAGGGCAGCTGTGCTGGCTGCACCTGGGGCGCGGAGCGTCCTGAGGAATGCCACACGGACCCCTGCCTGAATCTCCGTGGCTCTGCAGCTCTGGCCGCCCCTCCCTGGTGCAGTGGAGGCCCAGGTTCCTGCCCAGGTAGTGCCCAGACCTGTTAACCCTCGTGCAGACCGGTGCCAGGGTAGAGGGGAGGCTCCCTGAGTTTGGTGCATGTGGGAACCGGCTGTGCCCTCATTGCCGATGGCCCTTGACCGAGTCTCTCTTCTAGTCCCGCTGTTTGTCTGTCCACGGCCTCACCCCAGCTGCGTATGGACACAGACACAAAGTAATGCTCAGGTGCACAGTGAGGCACAGCTCCCCACTCCGTGCTCTTCTCTGCTGGGCTTGGAGCTGCACCGTCCAGATCCCCCTTAGAGCAAGGACTTGCTGCTCTGGTTCCTGGGAGTGCCGTGTCGGGTGGCCTTCGGCCGTCGGGGCCCTTTAGGGTTCGCTGGGGCTGCAGAAAGCTGCTGTTTTACTTTCCCACAGGGTTCCAACTTCTCGTATTCTCATTTACAGTTATTTTTTTTATTTCAAAAAATATTGTATTTATTTTTAGAGTGGGAAAGAGAAAGAGAGGGAGAAAAACATCAATGTGTGCTTGCCTCTCATGCATCCCCTACTGGGGACCTGGCCCATAACCCAGACATGTGCCCTGACTAGGAATCGAACTGGTGACCCTTTGGTTCACAGGGCGTCACTCAATCCACTGAGCCACACTAACCAGGACCAGAGCATGTTGTCCTAACAGTGAGTCTCTGAATGTTAGCATCCTTTGCCACTGGGTAGGTTGGGTACTTCTAAAACCACCAAATTGCGCTTGCTTTTGGGGTAACAGTTCTTTCCTCAATTTATCTCTCTCTTCTCACATTTTACTAGAAGCAGCAAGAAATCAGGCTTCACCTTCAACACTTTTCTTGGAAACCTGCTCAGCTGGGTGTTGAGGTTCATTCATGGCTTACAATGTCTCCTTTCTACACAGTAGGACACAGGTCCCCTAAGCCACAGGTTACAGGATCCCTCTGCCTCCGGTTTGTAGTGGTGTGTTGCTCATTGTCCTCCTGACTTCCACCAGCATCGCCTTTAACATCCATATCTCTACCCACGGTCTATAAACAAAAACTTCATTGCAACCTCAGCTCCCCTTTGCCATGTATCAAAAGATATTCACAGATTCCAGCGACTGGGACGTGGATTTCTTTGAGAGGGCATTCTACCTCCCACACTTCCTCTTGCCACATCACCCTTCTGCAGAGAAACCTCCCTGTTCTCCACACCAGGGAACTCTTGTCCCCAAGGCCCACCCAGCACTCAGGCAACCTTTAGGGGTCTTGGAGCCTATGCTTGCTTGTGCCCGAGTCCTTGAGTCACGTCTGGGGCACTGTTTCTTTGCTTTTCTGTTTTGTAGCAACTTGAGTTCCCAGTACAGGAGAGACAGGAATTCAGCCCAGATGAACCCCATTCAGATGGGCTTGAAAGCCTGCTTCCCAGAAGCATCCCTCTCCCCCATCACCCATCCTCTCCTGAACAAACAGAGAGCCATCCTCATACAGAAGCGAGCCCATCTTCCTGGTAGTCTTGGCTCCAGAAGGTGGCTGGCCCAATAAAACCTGGTGGCCAAGAGCATGAACAATGTCCATGTCCCATACCCATCCTAGGAGACAGATGAGCCCCGAAAGATCTAAGCATAGCAAAAAGGCCATACAGTGACAGTCCATGGTCATGGTCATCGTGCTGAATCCCACTTGTGGGGGTGTGGGAAGGGGGCAGGGAGCAAGGGGACTTGCCCATGGGTCAGCAGGAGCGAGCCCTGGGCGGACGGCATCTGGTGGGGAGGCCCCGCCAGGCGTGTGAGGTGTTTCTCAGGAGTGTCAGTTTTAAGTGACTCTGCTCATGACTCACTGTCCACACCACAGTGCGAAGCCGGGCGCCTTGCCTCCGCCTCGTGTGGAAGTTCATCACTGTTATTGGCGAGGCCCTTGTGTCCTCGGAATTTTGGCAGAGCCTCATCGGGATTCCAAACCGGCACATTTGGGGCCATGGTTGGCAGGTTGGGGGGACTAGACTAAAAGATCCCACGCTGTGGTCTGGTCGGCCTGCCCACCATGCGTTACTGGGGCCTTACAGGGCAGCGGGAGTGAGAACAGCTGTGTGGAGATGGGGGCGGAGGGGAAGTTGCTTGGTGTTGCCTTTAATGGCAGGAACGGGTGTCTCCAGAGCATTTTTGCGAAGGTGTAGAATGCCCAAAAGGTGGAGAATTTAGCGTGATGAGGGGTGTGAGCAGGCATAACCCAGGCACTGTCATGACCAGGCATCATTTTTAAATTTTAGTAGGGGGTGTTTGAAAAGCTTACTCTGGCACTCAGTCCAGCTAATCATCCAGTAAAGGAAAGTTTCTTGTTCTAAGGCCCATCTATGTGGATATTGTGAAGTTCTTTGATCTTAATCTAGTTTGGCACACCAGTAGGATTTAGGATAGTTTTTGGTAATTTCTGGGCACGGAGTCACACAGGGTCCAGTAGATGCCGGCACTAAGCCATTGTGCCTCGACTTTGGCGTGGGAGTACCGAGTATAACCAGAAGGTGGCAGTAAAGGGCAAACAAAGCGAACCTGTCAAGCACTTCCAGGTCCGGCTCTTGGGGAACAGGATGGATCCCCAGTTTGTAAAATCGCCAGTGGTGGTTTTTTAAAAAATTGAATTCACAATTGGAGACAATCATTTTGGCTATCAGTGTGCAAGTGGGAGGTCTTGGTTTTGCTCCCATTGCTATTCCTCCCTCTGTCCACCTGAACCGGCCTCCAACCAAATCTCACCATTCTCCTGCCCCCGTTTCTTAGTCTCGCCGGCTTTCTTTACTCCCGCCGAACGAGCGCCTTCCCTGCTCAGCCTTTGCAGTGACTGGTCCACTGATCTGGACACTGTTCTCCAGGTCTTCGTGCAGCTGCGTCTCCATGCCTTCTTAGTTTAGTTTCTTTTCTCAGGGAGGTGTTGCCTGGCCACGCTTTCCCCTCGCTCTCCATCACATCACTGCTGCGTTTTCATTAGAGCAGCGATCACTATCATTACGTTCATTTTGGCCCGTTATGTTTGTTACCGGATTCCCCCAACCATAATGTAATCTGCATGAGTGTGAGCAATTTGTCACTCTTGTTCACGGCTGCCGCCGTGCAGAGAGCAGCACCTGGCATACAGGTGGTGCTCAATAACTATTTAGTCCATTAGTGAATGGGTGAACTGGCTGTAGCTATTGGAAAGCCAGGTTTCGGTGGTGACACTTCCATTGCCATGGCAATACAGCTGCATTTTAGGGGGACATCTAGTGACGGGGTAAAACAGCGCAGGCTCACACCCTGCACCGTGAGGCTCCTGCGGGTCTGTGAGCTTCTGACCACAGGCTGGGGCCTTGGCCCCGCCCTCCCACCCGCTGAGGCAATAAACAGAGCGCTGGGAACCTGACCTGTCCCTCTTCTCTTTCTTCGAGTACCTATATTTTACATTTTTATTGAATTAATTGGGGTGATGGGTTCATAAAGTTATATATGTTGCATGTTTACAATTCTGCAACACAGCATCTGTATATTGTGATGTGTGTTCACCACCCAAAGTCAAGTCCCCTTCCATCACCATTTTCCTCCTTTACCCTCTTCTTTCTCCCCTATTCTTCCCTCCCCCCCCATCTCCACACTGTTGTCTATCTCTCTGAGTTGTTGTTCTTTGCTTAATCCCTTTATCTTTTTCACTCAGTCCCCCATGGTTGTCAGTCTGTTCTCTATTTATGAGTCTGTTTTTATTTTGTTAGTTTATTTCTGGGGTGTCAAACTCATTTTCACTGGGGGCCACATCAGCCTTGTGGTTGCCTTCACAGGGCCAAAATAATTTTAGGACTGTATAAACGTAACTACTCCTTAACTGTTAAGGAGTTGAAATTACATTCGGCCTCTTGAAGGCAACCTCAAAACTGATGTGTCCCCTGGTGAAAACGAGCCTGTCAGCCCTGATTTAGCATAATAATCTCCAGGTCTGTACATATTGTTGCAAAAGGTAAGAATTCCTTCTTTTATATGGCCATGTAGTACTCCACTGTGTAAATGTACCACAGCTTTTTTATCCGCTCAGCAACTGATGGGCACCTGGACTGTTTCCAGATCTTGGTGTTTGTAAATAACATTGCTATGAACTTAGGGGTGCATATATTCTTTCAAATTAGCGTTTTGGGATTCTTAGGATGTATTCTCAGTAGTGAAATCCCTGGGTCAGAAGGAAGTTCCATTTTTAGTTTTTTCAGGAAACTCCATATCATCTTCCACAGTGGCTGCACCGACTGCATTCCCAGCAGTGCAGAAGGGTTCCCTTTCCTCCACATCCTGGCCAGCACTTGTCTGTTGATTTACAAGTGTGAGGTGATAGCTCATTATGGTTTAATTTGCATGTCTTTGATTAGTGATGTTGACCATCTTTTCATATGTCTGTTGGCCATCTGTATGTCCTCTTTGGTTGGAGAAGTGTCTGTTTAGGTCTTTTACCCGTTTTTAAATTTTCTTTTGGTGTTGAATGATATAAGTTCTTTATAAATTTTGGACATTAACCCCTTATCAGATGTATCATTGGTGAATATGTTCTCCCATTCAATGGATTGCCTTTTCATTTTGTTGATGGTTTCCTTTGCTTTGCAAACACTTTTTAGTTTAATGTAGTCCCATTTGTTTATTTTTTCTTTTGTTCTCCTTGCCCAAGGAGATATGTCAGAAAAAAATATCGCTGTGACAAATGTCTGAGATTTTACCCCTTATGTTTTCTTCTAGGGTTTTTATGGTTTGGAATCTAACACTTATGTCTTTGATCCATTTGGGGCTTATTCCTGTGCGTGGTGTGAGAAGGTGGCCTAGTT